AATTCATATTAGAGGCATTATCTGTAGTAATACTTAATATCTAAAAAATAAAAATAATTAGTTATTAATTAAATTTATTTATAAAAAAATTAATAAAAATTCATTACTTTTGTTAAAAGATTATTAACTTTAAATACTTTAAAAAATATTTCAGATAGATTTTTGCCTGAATAAGAACCTTCAAAAGAACAAAATTCAATAGTACATTGTTGAAGTTTCTAATCATTTGAAATCCAATGTCCTGTTATTCCAACAAAAGATTTTTGACTTCTTGAAGTCCAAGTATCAAGAGTAAATAAAATTTTGCCTGGTATTTCTTGTAATATTTTTTGTAAATTGGCTTGTTCATTATTAAAAGTTTTAATAATTTTGTTAGAAATAGTTTCAGCAGAAGGAATTTTTGCTATATTATTAAGTCTTTTAATCATAGTCTGAAAAAATTTATTTTCTACAACAATAAAAGATTGATCATCAGAAATAATCCAATTAATTAAATCATTATACCAATTTTCTTGTATAAATTGCTATATAAATAATATTTAAATTTATTTTATAATAGTTAATAAAAATAATAAATAATAATTTTAAAATTCTAATAATTAATTAAAAATATTTACCAATTCTTCCTTTTTAACAAATTTATTCATTGCTTCTGTAATTTTTTCATTTGTAATTATATTTTTATATTTTTTTTCAAGATGTCTTTTTAAAGCAGATGTTGATTTATCTTTTGCTATTTTATACTTTGAACTAAATTATATTATTAAATATATAAATATATTAATAAAAACTAAAATATTATATAAAAATTTAAATATAAATTAATAACTTACTTGCAATAATTACATTTATATTTTTTAATTTTTTTATCTAATGTAAAATGTTGATAAACAATAGATCTAAAAGTTGATTTATCATCTGTATCTATATCTGCATTTTCTTCATTTGCTTGACTTGTATTAGTTTCATTTTCACTAATATTATCTTCATTAATAGAATTAATTTCATCTCTTTCTTGATTAGAGCTATTATCATCTGAAGTATCATTATCAATAATTTCAGAAAAATTATTTTCAAAAATATAATTTTCATCAAGAAAAGTATTGTCTTCTTCAGATTTCATATTTAAATTCTATTTATTAATAAATTTATTATAAAAAAAATATATATAACTTAGTTAAATTAATTAACACTTATATGCAAAGAAAACATACATAAACTTATTAACTTAATTCATAATTTGCCAAAAATTTATTATTGTTTTTTGTCTTTTTTAGAATATGAAGTTTTCCAAAGAATAAATCAATTTTTTACTAAGCAATTCTCTCTTCAACTTCTAACAAAAGTTGTATAGAAGAGGATTTCAAGCATAATGATAGTTGAAATATTAAAATTGGCCTAGTGAATCATGAGATATAAGCATTTTTATCTTTATAACTTCTTTGTATAAACAAAGAAGTTAAATATATAGTCACGAAGACAAAAATGCACATATCTCACAATTCACCAGGTCAATTTTGATGTTTTAACTACTATTGTGCTTGAAATTCTCTTCTCTACAACTTTAGTTAGAAGTTGAAGAGAGGATTGCTTAGTAAAAAATCAATTTATCCTTCGGAAAACTTTAGAATCCAAAAAATACAAAATTTATATAGTAAACATATCTCCAAAGTTTACTATGTTTTTTTACTATTTCTCTGGCAGATTACAAATTAATAATAATTTCTCTTATATTATATAATTTTAAATTTACTATTTCTCTAGCAGATTACAAATTAATAATAATTTCTCTTATATTATATAATTTTAAATTTACTATTTCTCTGGCAGATTACAAATTAATAATAATTTCTCTTATATTATATAGTTTTAAATTATTAATAACATATCTTTTTGAGTTGTCTTGTACAAATTTATCCTACAATAATAGCCACCTTGTAGAAAAGTTTATATAATTATAATTTTGTTTAATTGTATAATAAATATTCGAAATAGATCTACTATAAAAACAAAATCTATATACAGTTAAACCACTCTAAACACACTCTCTATAAGTGTATACTCTCTCTAAATGCATATTCAAGCACTGGCCCAAATATATACTTAACCTCTATAAATGTATATTATTCTTTATATGCGCATTATTAAAGTAAAATTTTAAGAGTATAATAGAATTTGTATATCGCTTCTTTTGAAATAAATAAATCAATCACTTATCTGAAATCAAATGTCGAATATACACTTAATGAGGTTTGACTATAGATTAATTTAAAGATTTTGGGTTGCCTTTTGTTTTTATATTTTTATAAACTATTCGAATATTTGTTAAATAATACTAACAACAAGTAAAGAAAATACAAAATTTTCTATAAAGCTAATAATTTAAGAATTTAAGAATTTAATACATACGTATTAATAATTTATTTGATCAAAAAGTTTATTTAAATAAATATGACAAAATTTGATATCGAGATAAAAAAAAAAAATGATATTTATATAATAATATGAATAAAATATGATATGCAGATTTTTTAAATAATTGCTATTTTTGTTTTATACAAACCAATAATTTTAACTTTATATATTTTAGAATCTATCGCAATATAACTTAAATCTAACCTATATTCGTACATATATTTTGTAAGTGGAAATGGCATTTAAGTAGATTTAGAATTTTTATAAAAGCCCATTTCAGGGTTGATTTTATTATATGTATTCTCTAACTCTAATTCTAATTTAACTAGGTTCCGAATCTACTTAAATTCCATTTTCACTTACAACATATATAATAATCTGACAGTTGTTCGATTGTGTGAATGTACAAAATTGCAGAATTGTTTTAAAAAAGTTATAAATAATAAAAATGGATTATTTGATTGAATATCAAGAAAATCACACAATCAAACAATGATCAGTAACATGTGAGCTCATAGGAAGACATATGTATAATTGGCAATTTAAATCAATTTAATTTTATATTATTTATACAGTTTAAAGTGTTTTTAAAAAAATAAAACTACAAAGAATAAACAAAAAAGAATTATATTGTCAGAGTTGTTGGACTCTATTATTAAAAAAAATCTGAATCTTTTTTTGTTTTAGGGAAGTTAGCATAATAATAAACTAATTCTATTTATTTTTAAGAAGTCGCAATTATGCTAATTTCTCTAAAACAAAAAAGGATTTGGATTCTTTTTAATGATAGAGTCTAACAACTCTGTCAATACTTTCTATATACTTCTTTTTGTTTATTCTTTGTAGTTTTATTTATTTTAAAAAAAATACTTTAAGCTGTATAAATAATGTAAATTAAATTGATTTAAACTGCTAATCATATGAATTTCTTCCTATAACATGTGAACCAATCTGCAAAGATATTATCTTGCAAAAACATTTCTGGGCTGATCAAACTTACGATCAGACAATATATGCGGATGATTCCTCTTATATTCATATACTGTTATCAAATGTAAAGTAGCTGC